AAACACAATCCCTCCAACAATGGCTAAAATCCATAAATAATTAAAATAGAAACATACATTAAAAATGTCCTAAAATTTTTTTGGGTTCTTTCCAACCCAGTGGAGTGTCCGTGTGATAATTCTCTGAAAACTCAACAAAATGGGAATAAATTTGGTATGTTAGGAGAAGCTGGTAAAAGGAAGTTCAGTGCCCAAAATGGAGTGGATCTGCCTGAGGGGTGTGGAGGAAAAAAAAGTCCCCTAATCATCCCTGGGGTGGGGTGGGGGCAGTAGACAGCAACTCTGCCTGTTGCTGATCGTTCCATTCTAAGCCCCCCCTCCCCCCTTCCAGGCATGGGCTCAGAGGGGACATATGCAGTCCCACCTGATGCTTCCCACGCGTGCATACACACAAACATAGGCCACTGCCAGTAAAGAATTGCAGAAACCCAGCTCTGCGTGCTTTCCTTACCTTGCTTAAATTAGAACGTGGAGAGCTTACCGAAAGTCTCCTTAATCTTATATTCTTCTCATAGGTAAGTGGCGGCTATATAACAATATATAACACATGAAGCTGTACAGAGAAGGGGTATTTCCCCAATCTCCTGCCCTTCGGATGTGTTGGACCGCAGTTCCTCCTCTCCTCAGTCACATGACCCCATTGGGCAGTAGGCTGAGAAAAGCAGCTCCAGAAGTTGTTTTTGCCTTCTGATAGCAGGGATACAGTTTGGTTTTTCATACAGAGAGTCACATTCCTCAGCGGCCTGGCCAAGAGCCAAAAGTGATCACACACCCACATTCTCTTTCAGATGCCATATTTTTTCTTTTCTAACACCATGCAGTTCCTTCCAAGCAGCCCGGAAGGGATGGATCTCTTGCTGGATCTCAGAACCCATTTCTTGCAAAATGGTTTTAAAAATAGGCCAAGGGTCATATGCAATCAGAATGCAGGTTTCTCCATCCTGGTATTACACATACCATGTTCTGAAGGGCTGAAAAATATATTTGAATTAAATCCTGGAGGGCACCAGTAACAGTACATGCTATGCTAATGTGACATATTAGCTAGTTAGTCAAAGAAATTACACTAACAACAAAGGTATGTACTGTCAAGGGCATGGTTTTCCAACTTGCAACATAAGGCTATGAAAGCTGGACTTTTAAACTCTGGTGCTAGAGAAAATGGGTGAGAGTACCTAGGTTGCAAGAAGAACAAATCAGTACTAGAGTGTTCACTGGAAACACAAATAATAAAGCTTAAGCTTAAATATTTTGGGCACATAATGCAAAGGGAAGTCATTGGAGAGACTGTGATGCTGGGAAAAATGGAACACAATTGGAAAAGGGAGCCAACAAAAGATAAGGGGATTAGATACAGTCACAAATGAGAGAAACATGAGCTGAAAAGAACTCAAAGAAGCACTTACTGTCTGACAAGCCAGGCCAAATCATGTCCATCAGATCATGAAGAGGCAGAAGTGCCTGAAAAATTGAACGTCACAAGGGGAAGAGGAGAGGAGAACCTTAGGCGCGGTAGTCATATGCAGACTTCCTGCTGCATGTTGAGTTGTGCTTACTTGGGAGGTGAGGGGTGGGAAGATCCATCATTTCTAAAAGACATTTTGTTTTTCTCATTTTCCCTTTAGAGATCAGCAGCCTAAGTGATAAAGATATCCTCATTTTGCCACTTGATTTGACTGACAGGGGATCTCATGAATCTGCCACAAAGACTGTTCTTCAGCATTTTGGAAGGGTAAGTTTCATTCTTTGAATGAAAAGCAGAGCAGGGCAAGAAGCACATATGTCCTGGGGGCAATCTGTACTGGGATGAAAAATTGGCATCACAGGATCATGTGCTTTAGTTTTGGAATGCAGTTACCCTTTTTAAAGGGTTCAATATGTTCTGTTTTTCAAGAGGGAGCATGGAAGCGAGAAGCCCTTTCAGATATCCCAGCCGCTGATTTTGAAAGCACATAAAGAGCTGACGCTTCAGAAATTCAAACACAAGACAGTTATTTGGGCTCATGAAACTAGCTGATTTCTTGCATTCTGAGTCCATAGTCACTTCAATTATTGATACCGACAAGAAGCAATATTATAACTGACTAATTTCTCTTTCCCTTCATTTCCTCTCTCACAAAAGATTGACATTTTGGTGAACAACGGCGGACGTTCTCAGCGTTCTCTTTTTGTAGATACAAATATTGACGTTTATAACGCTATAATGGAACTCAATTATCTTGGCACAGTCTCCTTAACCAAATTTGTCCTGGACCACATGATCCAGAGGAAACAGGGGAAGATTGTCACGATGAACAGCGTGATGGGTGTCATGGGAGCTCCCTTGGCGACTGGGTATTGTGCCAGCAAACACGCTCTGCGGGTAAGGCTCTTTTCCAGCTGCCTTGGACAAGTGGTGTTCCCGCAGTCTCAGGATGTGTCGGGAGTGCAACTCCCAGAACCGCCCCAGCCAGCATTCGGGAAACTGCAGTCCCAATACATTTGTGGGATGGCATGTTGGGGATGGCTATGTTTTAGGATTATAGTAATTGCAAATAGAGAACTTGCTGAGATTTGAAAGGCCCTGTGTACTACTGTTAAGGCTTGCTTAGGCCAAGAGGATTTGGTTAAGAGAAGAGGCCCCAGTATCAGTTCCATGCTTCTCCTGGGCTATGTTGCATTCATATCTGGGCAGTTGTTCACATTATGACATTCAAATATATACAGAAAGTTATGACGGGGTCACATTTGCTTGTTTTTGCATAACTGTATATTTATCCAGTAAAGATGTCACACATTAAAAAACGCTGGGCTATATAGATTGAAGTACTAAGCAGCAGTTGTATTACTATCTCAATTACATTTGACCACGATTCAGTAGCTATAATAATGTGGAAGTCTGTAATTTAAGGATTGGCATCTGGAGGTTCCAGAGTGGGGTTGCCATATTTGGACTGCAGCTGTGTTCAATGACTACAAGATACCAGAAATATCGAAAATGGTATTTTTTTTTTGCTGCCATCTAGTGATTAGTTGGATTTTTGTAAGCTAATTATGGTGAACCTAAGCCAAATCTGGCTCCCTGAGTACAACCAACCGGCTTTCTTGTTGCTAACCTGGACGATATTGGTACTTGCCATCAAGGGGATCCACAGCATGGGGTTCAAAAAAGAAGATGGCTGCCACCGCCATGTGATGAAAACCCTGCACCTGTTTTACATGTGTAGGTCGATTTTATTACAGTCTTTACCCAGGAAATAAAACAGATAAAAGAAGAAAAATAGAAAATCAAAATAAACACAACTAAGCTTATGTAGCAATCCATCTCAAATCATATGGATCCCCTACTGAAGCCTTAATACTAGATAACAAAAACTTTGCAATATTGTAGGTTACTTGTTTATAATTACAGCTATGTACAGTTATAGTCCTTGAGGTGCATGATAATTTATTCTGTTTGAGGTTGAGGTATGATGTGGAGACCCTTCTAACAGAGCTACTACTGTTCTTTCCTAGGGCTTCTTTAACTCTCTTCGGCCTGAGATTTCTGACTATCCTGAAATAAGTATAATCACCATCTGCCCAGGGCCTGTCCAGTCACAGATCATCCAAAATGTCTTTACTGAAGAAGTTTCAAAGGTAGGAATGGTTGAAATGATTTAAAGGACAATGAACTCTGGGGTCATAAAGAGTTACGAATGAAAAGAAATGAAATCTGCCTCGGTTAATGATTGCCCTGTCCCTTGATTGCTGATGGCAATGCAAGACAGGCCTAGCCTGGGCCCCTAAGCTGTGATTGCAGTTGTTTGCTAAGGCCAGTGCTTTACCTGCCTTGAGGCACCTGCACTGTTAAATGCTTGTTAACAGGAAAGGGATGCCCATGGAACTGGATTCAATCAATGGCACCCTGGCATTCCCTACGCCCTCTGGTGCCAGGATGCCATCAACACCAGTAGATCCTCCAAATTAATTAAAATACTGAAACATGTTTTTTAAAGACATAGTTGAAGTCTCAAGCAATTGCCTTCTTGCCTGAGATTTCATGAGGTTTCAAGGGAGAATGTGCAAGATAGTTCTTGGATGGAAGACCATCAGGAAATACTAAGAGGCTGTAAGCTAAATTGGGAAATAATAATAAAAAAAATTCCAGAAGAAGGCATTGATAAAATACTTCCATATTGCTAGTAAGAAAACTACATGGTCATGTCCATGTAGTCACCAGGATCAAGCCCAGCTTCAGAGTCTCTTTCCTTATTTTTTATTTTTTTTATTTATATGTCACGTATATATAGCTGCCCATCTCACAAAGCGACTCTGGGTGACATACAACAATTAAATAAAATAACAAGGGAATAAAAACTAG